CCCTAGTTTTGTTGCCTGATTTTGTTTGTAAATTAGAACTTAGTCTGCCTTCTGATATCTCCCTGGATGGTGATGAATTGAATCCCTGTTTTCCCTATTGAATTTCTTGATCTGTGATCAGAGTTTATAATAGATTGCTTTGTTCATGTTCTCCGGATACTGTGGTATAGTGGATGTTCATTAATCGGATTTTCCAATCCCCAAATTAGGACTCTTAAACAGAATGTCTTCACAATATTTATGTATTCAGGATTCTCCAAAAATGCCTCTCAATACTTTTGTGCAATGGACGTTTGTAAATTGGATTCCTCTGATCTATATGTCATGGTTTTCAAAAGGTGCGAGATTCTTAATTAGCATACTCTCAATTTGTTGTTCATAAGCGGCATCTTCCGATTTGTATCTTAGACGATTGCACAAAGACTAGGGGTGGAGGTTTTTTTCGGGGACTCAGGATGGCTATTGGGATTATCTTCTTCGAGGTTAGATCTCTTTCCTGTGGGTTACACGAGGTGGGAGGTGTATCCTTGAAGGAGAGGGGCGAAATTGTCAGAGTCCAGAAAATGAAAACAAGAAAAAAAAACCGAAAACATGGATTCGGCCTTGAAAACGGCTGGATACATCAGTGTTACAATCATATGAGGAAACAATACTAGAGCAGATCACGGATTCCGCCCTGCCTCGTTGGCAGGGTACTCATAACAAACAAATACAAAAGAAAAAAAGAAAACAACAAGTTTGAGAACGTGACCATCTTTGCTGTAAGATGCATGCAAGACTGTGAGGTTGTGTGAGCACGGTCTCCTAGACATCCCTGCCCGACATCATTGCAGTACAAAGGCCCGTTTTTTTTCCTTTCCCTTTCGTGCACGGGCAAAAAAAAAAATACGACTTTTGGGACATTGCCGCCCCTCTGTCCGACCCCCGAAAACTTCGGGTACTGGCCAGTATCACGTAATTTCCCAACACTGGGGAAGGTACTGGTGGTTTAAAAGCTCCATCTATTGGTGGGGAGCTGCACCTGCTGGAAACCGTGTCCAGCGTCCCTCACATTTTGAAAGTAAGCAGAGGGTATAAGAACAAATCTCAGTGAATCCTATGCTGGAAACCGGGTCCAGCGTCCCACTCTTACTGACTTTACCATCCGGTAGCTTGGTCCTAAACCATTTTACAAATATTGAATGAAGAGTACTAGCCATGGGGAAGCCTCTTCAGTCAGAATTCTGACTGCCTGATGGAAAAATTAAACCTAGCGTCCTCCAATTACAACCCTGTCTAGTCTTAATCCTATGTCATGCTCTCCCCTCCTCCAAACCACTCAAGATCCACCATTGCTAACGGAGCGGGGGGGAAGGGATCAGCAAACAGTTCAGGCGCTCTCAAAAAAGCCCCTGGTTGAAAGTCAAACCAATTCTGAAAGTTAATCTGGAAATCTCGTTTGATCCTCCCCTGTTCCTCTTTCTCCCCTGGCCATATTATTTCTCCCAATTTTTCCCCTGCTGCTTCCCCAAGCCATTCCAATTGAAACTTCCTTATTTCTTGTTTTATGTCTTCTTTTTGCTTGAATTCCTTAAGCTTTGTTTTCTTTTTCTCCCACTGGCTTCTTAGTTCCGTTTGGACAAAGCTTTTTATTATTTCTGAAACCTCTTCACTTTCTATCCTGACTTCTTCCATTTCAATACATCGTTTGTGCCATAAAGCCCACAATATATATATATATATATATATATATATATATATATATTAAGGCTAATTCTTTAAGCCCAACCAATTCAATTACCTGTCAAATCTGGACAGGACGGCCTTTCAGGCTTTTTTTTATTGTCATTATAGTATTACGGTGAACCCCGTAGCAGCCACATCCGTGTTCAAGCCTCCAACGAGGGAACATGCGGGAGCTGCACCCACCAGCAGGTGCGATACCTGCTACAGCAGGTGGGCGATACCAGCCAGGGGTCAGCCGGTAGCATCAGGACCGAGCTTCTTCGATGGGCCAATCACTGTGCCTCCCCTCCGGTCCCCTACCCCTATGAACATCAGCAGTCTCTGCTCAATGCCACTCGGGGGGACCAACGGCATATCTCTAGGTGGCGGGTGCCAAGCTTGCCCAGGAAGGTACATGAGGCCAATGGGGATTGAACCCAAGACCTCCTGAATGCCACTTGCGTGCCTTACCAACTGAGCTAGGCCGCTGGATTAAAGCCCACAATATCGCTTTTCTTCCTAGATGAATCGCTTTCCTTCCTAGATGAAAGAGGTTGTGTTGAAATTCCGATAATTCTATTAATTGAGGGTTCCAATATCCTAATTAAATTGCTCTCCAGTCCCAGGGCCAATCCAGGCCAGTAAATCTTCGCCACACATAGTCCCATCGTCTACATAACAAGACAGCCCCTGGGCATTGCAAAAAGATATGTTCAATTGTTTCCCTGATTTTCCTCGGATCCTTGGGGTTAGATCCGCTATGGCGTTTGGGTCAGAGAGGACAAGGAGTGCTGTTTCAAAAGGTGGGAGACTATGTGGGCTGTTTGACTAGGAGGGGGTGGGATAGGAGGGATGGGGGAAATTCAGCTTTGTGGGGGCATACTCTAGGGGCTATTGTGTGTCACTTAGGGAGCAGGGGTGTCCGTTAGGGGGTTGTTTTGAACTGAGGCCGATGAGGAGAAGGGGGTTCCTCTGGGTGGAGGCAATGTAGGGAGAGGGGGTAGCTTTTTTTGAGGAGAGGAAGTAGTTTTGGGGGTTGTCCTGAGTCCTAATGTGAATTGAGTTCTTGTCCTTCACTGGATCTACCGTAAGGAGAGAGGATGGTTTTTCCCTCCCTTTTTCTCAGCTCCAGGGGGTGAAGGTGTTGGAGGAGGCTCTGGCATCTCTGTTGGTTGTGCAATTTGAATTTCCTAAAAATTCCTAAGATATTCTCGAAAGCTTTGCGCTGGTTGGGTGGATTACACTGGTCCACAGGGTGGGGATTCTGCATGGTTAGATACAGCGTGTCTTATTGGTGAAGGGGGCTAGCTAGTACGATGAAATAGGGAACATCAGCGGTGGAGATGGTGGCTCCGTTGTGGGAAGTCTTGTCGGAGTGGGTTTAGGGATGGATGGATGTTTCCAATGGAGGGCCACAATCAGCGCATGAGGGAGTTAGAGGTCTTGGAACTGCAGCTATGGCGCTGATAGGCGGTTCACTCGATGTTCTGTTGACACCGTTAGACCCATAGGTTGGCGAATGGACAAGGCCAGAACGACGCTGGTCGGTGTTGGGGCTTGGTTGCGCTGCCCTGTAACCCGAGTTATGCGGGGGTTACGAGCGTATGAGGCCTGGTAGAGAGATCTGGGGAGTTGTCGAGGGTGGAAGGCACTCCAATGTCCATTAGCGAGCTGGCACATAGACGGCGCTGGTCGGAGCGAAGGCGGGTTGCTCCGCCCTGTAACCTAGCGTGGGGGATTGTTTTGGAGTGGGTCACGCCGCTTTGTAACCTAGCAGTGGGGGTGTGAGGCCTGTTAGAAGCTAGGTATTGATGATATAACGGCTGAGGCAGGCTGAGCTGGGGCTGTTAAATCACACGAAGGTAGTTTGTTCGCTGGCCGAAAACTCTCAGGGGATAATGATTGAGGTTCTTATAGCTCCTTCGAATTGTAGCTAGAAAAAAGACTTCTCATTTTTCTTCTAAACTTTAGCCTATTTCATGACGCCCTTTGTTAAATAGGCTAGTAATTGTTCATGAGCCTTAGAAAAGGTGTACTACGAAGCCCGGTAATGGCCCTGGTATCTCATTTTGTTCTGTATGTTTTTGTTTTTTTTTTAATATAATTATTATTATTATTATAAACAAAACGACCCAAGATGATGCTAGGGGTGCTGATAGGAGCAGACACCACAAGCAGTCTCGGGAGGGCTCCATTATTGGTGGGGAGCAACACCTGCTGGAAAGCGGATCCAGCGTCCCTGATCATTGTAATCAATTGTTTGAAAAGTTATAAATGCGCAGGCGCTCAATGATGGGAAGCATCGATTGCCTTCGCGCGAGGGGATTGACTGCTCATCAAACCCTAGGACCATTACCCTGCCCTATTCAACTACTATCTGGTACAGTAAGAAGGGGAAAGATCCGGACAAGGTTTGGCTTCTACTTCTGCAATTCTCTACCCAGTGTTGCCAGCGCATGTGTCTCCCCTATAGCGCTAATTAACAAAAACCCGCTCAATAGGGGAGAACACCGGTTAAAAAAAGAAATCGAAATCACAAAAGGATGAAAGAGCAGCCTCAGATAAGAGTCGTACTCTTCCGTCCTCTCCACGTGGTCGGGACCAAGCGACTCACCCTAGAAACAACCTACAAACCCTAGTAACATATGCAACAGCACCTCTTCTCGGGCCGCCACATGGCGAATACTTGTGTTCATAGTAATTGGTGTGCCCATCAATATTCGTAAAGGGCAATCAATTCCAGTCAGGCGAAATCAAGCACATCCAAACGTTAATCCATGTCGACAAGGGTGGAAGGCAGTCTAGTGGTGAACCGGGGGGGGCTGCAATGAAGCGAGAAGAGATCAACTATGGTTGACAATTAGTTAGGTGGTTTTGTCTTTAAGGTACAGTGTCCTGGTACAGGGAGGGTTGGGAGTTGTTCTAGGATTAGGAGGCCAGAATAGCTGATATAACATATTTTCCTTTAATTTTTCATATTTTTGAATCATCATTCTCATTAGCATCATTTATCAGTGTCATTAGTATCATCATGGTTATCATTAGCGGTTTCCTCTAATTATTGGTAATATCAGCCTTGGGCACTGGGCCCGTTTTTTTTTTTTTTTTTTTTTTTTTTTTTTTTTTTTTTAATCCATGTCGACAAAAAACAGTGGGAGGTCCTATCCCTTCCCCACCCCTTCGCGCCACCATTGTGCACCTTTCCACATCCCCCCTTCAATAATCGGCGGCCAGAATAGAGAAAAGAAGGGGGAAAGAGGAGAAAAGAGTCGTGGCCCATCCCCCGATGCACTCACCGCATTATTATCATTATTGTCGTTGTTGTTGTTGTGGATGTCGATTTTGCCAGTCACCCTATCAATGAATCGCTCGTTACTATTATCTTTGTGATTGTTGTTATCGTTGTTTTTGCCTCCATCAGTGTTGTTGTTGTTGTTGAAGCTGATGGAACCACCAATCGCGCCAGTGTCAGAATCACCATCACTAGAACTGGCGTCCACTGCGTTGTCGTTGTTCTTGTTGTTGATGTTGTTGTTGGTGTTCTTATTGTTGTTGTAGTCATCGTTGTTGTTGTTGTTGTTGTTGTTGTTGTTGTTGTTGTTGTTGTTGTTGTTGTTGTTGCTGTTGTCGTTGTTGTCGCTTTCGCCAACACATGATCGTGAGATCACACTGTCGATATCGTTGTTGGTGTTGTTGTTGGTGGTGTTGTTATAGTTGTTGATGCCGCCAATCTCGCCGATGCAAGAATCCCCATCAAAGGGACCGGCAGCTGCTGCGTCGATATTGTTGTTGTTGTCGTTGTTGTTGATATTAATCTTGTTGTTTCTGTTTTCACCGATGCATGGACATCCTACCACTTGCATAGGTGTTGAAGGTGATGATGGCAAATTGTCCTCGTCCTCCACATCGAAGTGAGCATACCAGCACTCCACTGACACAGCACACAATGCTTGCCCCTCCTCAAGGACTGCATGACAGTGTCGCATCAAAATCGCCGCCTGTCGCAGGTAAATGAACCTTGCCAAATAAGAAGCTGGCCCCTCCTCCAGCTTCGTGATGATGTGCAAAAGGCTTTGCAACATGCTCTGGTGTGTGAGATATGGCAATGTGTTCCCCCCATCAGCCACCATCCTCATCTCATCCACTTTCTATCGGAGAAGGTCGTGACTCGTCTGAAGAAGCGAAAGCCACTGGGCGGCACCCTGAAGTAAAGCATCAGTTGAGTCCATTGACATCGTTGACCACGTTGACCATGTTAATTGTGTCGTTGTCGTTGCAAAACCTCCCGTCCACGTCGTGGCTACTCTTGTCGGCTATTCTCCTGTATTGCTCCCGAATGATGAGCTGGCTTCTCTGCATCGCACGTTTGCCACGTGGCACTTCACCACTCCAGCTTTTGCAAGTTGGGGACGACAATGCTCAAGCCACAGGGTGACGGACAACCAATGCGGCTCCGTTCCCCAGGCTTGTGCGTCTCCTGGCGGACGGGGCCTGCTGTCTGCGGGTCGCTAGGCGCTAGCGTTCCATGCAGCGTCACCATAGTTGAATTCAAAAGAGATCAAAAGCCTTCATTGCAGACATGTTGTCCGCACGGTAATTTAGGACAGGGAATCAGCCCACGAACTGAAAGGTAGAAAAGATAATTCTTACATATGGTTTCAAATGGGATGTTGGACCCAGTTCCCACCACGTGTTGCTCCTCACGAATAGATTGGAGCATTGTTCCATTAAAAAACACAAGTGGACCCGCCACGGCTACGCTGCGGCAGAGGAGAGGGACGAAGAGGAGGGCAGGGCCTGTGTTGTTACACTGCCGGTTTTGTTTTGTAATTTTTTTTTGTCGCCACATTCGCCATACACGGAAAAAAATCTCTCTCTCTCTCTCTCTCTCTCTCTCTCTCTCTCACATCCAATCGACGAAAGTAGCCCCTCTCTATCTGTCCGCGTGCATGGCAGGAAAATTCTCTCTCTCTCTCTCTCTCTCTCTCTCTCTCTCTCTCTCTCTCTCTCTCTCTCTCTCTCTCTCTCTCTCTCCCCCTCTTCCTTCTACTCCCGCTCCTCCACCAAACAACATGACAAAGATCCTGCCGTAGCCCTGCTCGCGCTCCTTCTCCCGCTCCTCCTCCCTCTCCTTCTCCAGCTTCCTCTGTTGCTGCTCCTCCCGCTCCTCCCGCTGCTTCTCCTGCTTTTCCCCCCGTTCCTCCTCCCCCTCCTCCCTCTCCTCTTCCCGCACCATAGCCCCACTCCCGCTCCTTCACCGCTCCTTCTCCCACGCCTCCTCTCGCTCCTTCTCCCGCTCCTCCCACTCCTCCCCCTCGTCCGCCTCGTCCCCCTCCCGATCCTCCTCCGCCAAACAACGTGACAAAGATCCCTCCATAGCCCCGCTCCCGCTCGTTCTCCTGCTGCTCCTCCCTCTCCTCCTCCTCTCCCACTGCTTCCCCTGCTCTTTCCCCCGTTCCTCCTGTCGCTCCTTCTCCCGCTCGGCCTCGTGCTCCTCCCGCCTCTCCTCCTCCACCCATATCTCCTCCCCTTCTACCACCCCTCCTCTCATGCCTCCTCCGCCCCTTCCCGTTTCTCCTCGTGCTCCTTCTCCCGCTCCCAACCCCCTTCCTGTTTCCCCTACCGCTGCTCCTTCTCTAGCCCCTCCTCCCGTGGCTCCTCCGCCCCTTCGCATTTCCCCTCCCGCAACTCCTCCCACCCCTCCTTTTCCCGCTCCTTTTCCCATCGCTCCTCCCGCTCCTCCCGCTGCTCCCGCTCCTCCTCTGCCAAACAAAGTGACAAAGATCCCGCCATAGCCATCTCCCATGAAAAAAACAAAAGAAAAATGGCCCGCCACGTGGCTAGCCGCACGCGCGCGCGGGAGCGAGAGAGAGAGAGAGAGAGAGAGAGAGAGAGAGAGAGAG